CCTCTCCCCGCCTCCCTCTCCCCGTGCCCGGCCGGGCCATGCCCCCGGCCCGCCCCCGGCCCCGGGCGGGGCTGCCCCGTGCCCGCCCCCGGCCGTCCCACCGAGGTCTGGTCCCAGCCCGGCTCTGGCCGTGCTGGCGCTGGCGCTGCTGGGCGGGGTTCAGTGCCTGGGGCTGGGGTGGTATTGCCGGCTTTTGGCTCCGCCTGGCCCGGCCCCGGCCCCGGCCCCGACCCCGGCCCCGACCCCGACCCCGGCCCCGACACCCACACCCACACCCTCTTTGTCTCTGGCCTCGGAGTCTCTCCAACGCCTGCAGGATCTGACCGGCGATGGAGGGGTGCGCAAGGAGCAGCTGCGCCCCGGCACCGGGCAGCCCGTGCCCCCATCCGCCTCCGTGGCAGGTAGAGCCGGCTCTGGGGCCTCCGGAGCCTCCTGTGGGCTCTGAGAGGTCCCGCGGCCAGGGCTGAACACTCTTGTTAGGGATGTCCCAACTCTCTGGCACAATTTGCCTGAGGAAGCTGTGGTTGCCCCATTCCTGGAAATGTTCAAGGCCATGCTGAGGCAACCTGCTTTAGTGGAAGGTGTTCCTGCTCATGGGCAGGGGGTTGGACTGGATAATCTTCAAGGTCCTTTCCAACCCAAACCATTCCATGATCCTCCAGGGCTGGTGTCCTGGAGTGAGGCTGCCTGAGCTCAGCCTGGCTGCCCGGGGGGGTGCTCTGCAGTAATGTGCCTGAATTCACTGGTAGTTCCCAGTAGCCATCTCCTGAGCAGCTTTTAAATAGGAATTGTTTAGTTTAGCCTGTGTTCAGCAGGACTAAGAATGTGAAAATCCGTGGAAGTGTGGGCTGGAGTGAGGATCTGGTGCTCATCTGTGTCACCTGTGTCTCTGCGTGAGGTTTGGTCTGTGTGGCTGGACCTGAAGTAGGTGCTAAGTGAAACAGGGCAGAGCCTGTTGGGAAAAATCCCCCAAGACTCTAATGTTGACATTCTGGTGGCTGGCAAAGACCACAACGAGGACTTAAAAGCGCTGATATTATACTGCGGTATATTTCTGTTTCAGAGACTGTCTCCTCTCCTTATCAGTATTTTAACACTTGGGATATCCTGTTTTAACTTCTTGTGGCTGACACATTAAATGAAAAGGCATCTTGACCTTGAGGAATGAAGAATTTCTAGGGCCCACCTGTGCTCACAGAGAAGTTTGAAGTTGGAAGGGGTTCCTGAAGTGCAGGGCCCTGGTGCTGTGTCAAGAGAGGCCCATTACAGTGTGTTTTCTGAGACAGAACTGGAGTTACAGATGCTTGGGGTAGCGGTACATTTCCCCCCTTGTTCTTCTTCCCACAGCTCCAGCTTTGGTTAGGGAATTCTTTTTAAATATTTCTGCATATAACTGGGGCATTTTAATTTGCTCAGTTGAAGTTTCCAATTCTTAAAAGTGCAAAATCACACGTCTTAAATAGGTCAGGGCTGTGTCTGGGAATGATGCTAAAACACACAGCAGTTGGCTGCTTGGATATGGCCAGGTTTTTGGTGTAAAACAGAAGGGATTTGCTGCCTCTGCTGTTCTATAGCAGAACAGAAAAGGAGAAGCAGGATAACTGAGTGGTTACAACTCCTGGTGTGCTCCTGATATGCTGTTATGGGATATGAAATCAACCTCTTGCTTTTCCCTTCTCCCCACTCCTCGCTCGTGCTGTACAGTGAAGTACTCTGGCTACCTGGGAAATTGGAATAAGCTCTTCTGTTCAAATGGGAACAGCAAGTATCCAAGGCTGATGAAACTTGGGAAAGGTAGGTTTGAGCCACAAACTTTGTCCTGGGGCTTGGGATTGTATTAAGGCATTTTGGGCCCTGGGGTTGTATTAAGGCATTTCAGTTTAAATGCTGTTTGATGTCTTTAGGTTTTTGAAGCCTTTAACACTTGTTCATGGAGTCCAAGATCCTCCTGGTTCACATGGGAGATGGAATCTGGACCTGCTTACCTTCTGCCTTCGAGTGGTAGGGAGGCGTTTCCTACCTGCCCTCAGGCAGTTTTAAATCTCTTGAGAAGAGATTATGTTTTCCAGGCTGGACAGGCCTTTAAGCATGCTGGTCTAGTAGAAGGTGTTCCTGACTGTGGCAGGGCTTGGACTAGATGATCTCTAAAGCCCCTTCCAATTCATCCCACTGGATTTGCAATGCCACGTGCTCAGTCCCACAGCAGCAGTACCCCTGATAATCCCCTTCTGGAGCAACTGGCTGTTGTAGTTGCTGAGACAGGAACTCCCAGGGATTTTTTTTTTCCTTCAGGCTTAAGGAGAAGTCATTGTTTGGTGTGTGAGGGTGTTGGTGTTCATGAAGCTCACCTGTCCCACCCCTCGTTGTGACAGACATCACAGTGTGGGGGCTGGAGATCGGGCTGCTGTCTATGACCAAAGGAGAGGCTGCGCTGTTCGTCCTCGCTCCAGAATACGCCTATGGCCAGCGGGGCTGTCCTCCCTCCATCCCCCCAAACACCACGGTCCTCTTCAAGGTGGAGGTGTTGGACTTCATAGACTCAGAGGAGTGCGACGCCTTCTTTGAGTTGACTTACGTGAGTTCCTTTAATAAGGCTTGAGACTGAAATCTGGTTCATCAGTCTGATGAACCATCATTGTCCTGTCTCACAGTTGCTGTGGCTTGTGTGTTACATGTGTTCAGGTGAATGCTGGTGCAAGTATCTAGTCCCTGGGCTCACAGCTCTGCTCTGATCCACATGCCTGCCCTTTGTGTCCCTCCATGCCTCCCTCTGTTTGCCCTCCCGTGCAGAGGGAGAAGGCAGGATCTGCCTTTGCTCCTCTGTGCTGAATAGAGTCAGTGGAATGGCTCCCATTTATTTTTAGTTTTACTGGAAACCTCTGGTATGGTTGCACTAGAGGGCACCAACTTCCAGGAATTTCTTTAAGGAACAGTAAGGAGCTGACTGTAACAATCATCTTCAGTCTGCAGTGTCCCAGTGTCCCACCAGTTCTTTGTCTCTGCCTCTTGGCTCCTCTCCCAAGTGCTCCCTCTTTTTTCCTTCCTGGTCAGTTACAGTGCTATTGTTAATTCACCTTTTCATGTCAAGGGCTTTGGGCTGTGGTTGTGGGTGAGTGGAAGCAGAAGCTAAGGGGGGAGCCCCTCCAGCCCCTGCACAGGTAAATTTTCCCCTGGAGCCCTGTGAGGAAACCATGCTTGTTGTGCTCCTTCCTTGCCCACCCATTTTGGCTGACTGACCTCTCTCTGTAGGCTGGTTTCAGCTTGCAGACACAGAAGAAAGCCTGTCCCTCCATTTTTCTTTTTCTTTTTTTTTTTTTTTAAATGATTGTTGGGATTTTTGTTTGCTGTTTGGTGTCTTTGGGAGTGTCAGGCTGTCCCAGAGCTGGCCTGAGGGCAATTAGAGCAATGGAACAAGAAGCTTTGTGCCAGTGGCAGCATTTGTGTTAACTCAGCTGTGTGCTGAAGAAGTTGGGCGGGTTTTAAGAACACATTCCTGCCTTTTTTCAGTCCCACTTTAGGCCTGAGGAGCTTCCTGACCTCTTTACTGGGAATAATCAACACAAGAACACTGTAATGTTTCAGCCTGGCTAGGGAGATACCACATGGTGGTTGCCTGGCTCTGGTAAGGACCTGGCTTCTACTTTGTGAATAGGAGGGGCTGTTCAGGACTGAGTCTGAGTTCTCTGCCTGTTTTCTTTAGTTTGAGCTGAAATTCAGATATTTCTTCATACAGGAACAGCGGGAGAGACTTCCTCTGGAAAAGGTGTTGAAAGTGGCAGCCACAGAGAGAGAGTTTGGCAACTACTTCTTCTATAAGCAGTGCTTCAAGATTGCCAAAGACAGATACAAGAGGGTATGGCACCAGGAAAATGTGGGGTGTGCTTTGGAAAAGCTTAGGTTAGCTCACCACAACAGGTACAGGTTAGAAATCAAATAACTTTATGGTATTTTCCAGGCACAGTTTGTTACTTCAGAACAGGGCTTGCACACCTGGTTTTGTGTGAGCAGCAGTGGTAAATGAAGGCATTGTCACAGAATCATTTTGGCTGGAAAAGCTCTCTGAGACCACCAAGTCCAACTGTTCCCCAGCACTGCCAAGGCCACCACTAACCCATGTCCACAAGTGCCACATCCACAGGGCTGTTAAGTCCCTCCAGGGGTTGGGATTCCACCACTGCCCTGAACAGCCTCTGTGTCAGGGCTGAACAATTTCAGTGAGAAATTGTATCCAACCTGAACCTCCTGTGCTGCAACTTCAGGCTGTTTATCTTGTCCAGCTACCTGGGAACAGAGCCTGATCCCCATCTGGCTGCACCTTCTTGTCCAGGAATTGTAGAGAGTGAGAAGGTGATCCCCTCTAATCCTTTTTCCCAGTCTGAGCCTCTTCAGCTCCCTCTCCCGGCAGGGTAAATGCTCAGTTATTCTCAAGCTGGAAGGCATCTGCTACTTTTTCAGAGGTAGCAGAGGTGATTCAAAGTGGCTTTTGCTTGGATTTTTGAAACAAAAGTAATTTGACTTGCCTTCTTCCCTGGAAGGTATCCATATTTATCTTGTAAGATATCCATATTAGATCTGAGTCCTGGGTCCTTTTTTTTGATTCTTCTGCTTTTCATGGTAAGTTTCTAAACCTGTGGTCATATGGTCAGCATGACTAGTCATGCTGAAAATGCCATGTCCTGTATTTAGAGTTTTGATTGTTACTACTTTTTAGTGACCTAGGTGAACAGAAGTATGGGTGTAGCTGTTGGATGAGATGGATTTCTCAGTTTCCATGATGGATTTGTTGTGCACTGGCTGGTTTTCCCTCTGCTCAGGCACTCTCCATCCTGGGTCGCAGCTCTTCCAGTAAGGCAGAGCAGAGCCAGATCAACGCTTCCAAACTGCTGCTGTTCCTGAATCTCTCACTCACCTACCTGAAACTGGAACGTGCTGACCGAGCTTTGAAATACGGGGAGTTAGCCTTGGAGATGGACCCAGGAAATGCCAAAGCGCTGTTCAGGTGTGGCCAGGTGGGCAAATAACTCATCATGGAACATCCCAGCCTGGCTGTGGAGGGAGCCCAGAGTGAACTGAGGAGACTCTCTGAATTCTGGGCTGTGGTAGTGGTCAAGGTGGTTTGTCTACATCTGCCCTTTTGGAAAGTCTGGCTCTCTGGAAATGTGTCACATGGAGCTTTTCCTGGAGTGTTCCTGAATTACTTTTCTCTGTCGCGGGAAAGTTTGTTTTGGCATGAGGCCTGAAGAAAGGCAGTGGGTCTGTATTTATCTTGTGATGCATCTAATTTCTTTCCATGACAGGCTTGTCTCTACATGAGGGAGTACAGCAAATCCCGGGATTTCCTGGCCAGAGCTCAGTGCATCCAGCCCTTCAACCGTGATATCAACAATGAGCTGAAGAAGTTAGCAAGGTGAGAGCCCTCCTTTCCATACCTGCAGAAGAGAGAGTGTTTGTACAGGCTGTAATACCCATTGAAAAATATTTAAAATATTCAAAAAAACCCAAACTGTTGGGTTAATAATTGACTTGGGAAAACACATGTGGAGAAAACAGCTTGAAACATTTTTCAGGCCCAGAAGCTGCAAGTGAGGAGCTCAGAGCACCCACCCTTTCCATGCATTTGTTTGGTGGAGTGTATGTTTCATGACTTCTGAGTAGATCAGGGTGAGGACAGGGATGTGGGGGCTACTAAAATACCTCACATCCAGTGAAATACACTTGGCTGATAATCCAGCTGGTAATGTTCTCAATAAGTATGATTTTCATTCCCTTTAAGATGTGTTGGTTATTTTCAGCAGTTGCACATGCTTCAATGCACAATACTAATAGTCATTAAAAGTTAATTTCTTGCCATCTTTGAGCTAATAAATGAACATCCCTGAAGATTAACTCTCCCTTTCCCCACAGGCTGAGTTCAGGACTATCCTGACATCTTTAGTCATGCCCCACCCCACCAAAACATGACTAATGCTTGTCTGTGCCTTCATGGTGTGCTTCCTTTGAAATTGCCAAAAGCATTAGCTTTTTCCCAAAAGTGTATGCTGTCCTCTGGCCCTGTTTACTGAGACAGGAGCAATGCTGTCCTCAGCTCTGGAGCTAACAAAGCAGCCCTTGAATACCAACCCTCTTCTGTATGTCAGTGCTAGGCACTTGCAGAAAGGTAGCAGTAACACCTAAAAAGAGTGGTTGGTGCTGCTGGAAAAGCCAGTCTGGTGGGCTGAATGCCTTTTGCCAGGGGATATGTTAGAGGGCTGTTCTGTCCTGTGTATTCACATTGTCTTTAATAGTCTGTCATAACACCAAGTCTGCAAATTTATTCTGTTACTTCTGAAGTACGAAGAGCTTGAAGGCAGTATTAGCTGCTGGTCTGGAAATTTTAAATTAATCTCTTGTATTCATCCTGATCTCCCACTGGGTATGGAGCTACCAAATTGTCCACTGAGGGTGGGGAGTTCTAAACTAGATCTGGCTGGCTGCTCCTGGAGGCTAGTACATGTATAGTGCTAAAGGCCTGATTCTAGAAGCCTCACGTACTCACTTAGATTTGTTTGAAATATGTTGGTAGATAAAAGAGAAATTTTGCTAATGGTGTTTAGGTGCTGTGGCCAGGAAGCAACAAGGCATTTCTGCCTTTGTCAGCTCCAGCTCTCTAGAGAGCAGCACGTTCAGTGAGTTTGTGTGTGTCAGAATTGAGTGCACGTTAAACCACTGTTGTCCTGGAGTTCTGCTTCGCTGCCTGTTAAAACTGGTGTCCTTTTTGCTTTTAACCATGCAATGGCTTGGGTTGGAAGGGACCTTAAAGCTCATTCCACTGTCATGAGCAAAGACTCTTCATCATACCAGGGTGCCTGTTCAGCCTGGCCTTTAACATTTCAGGGATGGGGCAGCCACTCCGGGCAACCTGTGCCAGGGCCTCCCCACTCTCACAGGGAAGAATTCTTTTCCAGTATCCCATCTAACCTTGCCCTCTGGCAGCAGGAAGCCATTCCCTCTTGTCCTTGTGCAAAGTCTATCTCCAGCTCTCCTGGAGCCCCTTTAAGCAGAGGAAGGGATTCTGAGGTCTTCCTGGAGTTCTTTCCAGGTGAACGCCCTTGCTCTTCCAGCCTGTCTTCAGAGCAGAGGGGCTCCAACCTTTGGAGCATCTCCATGGCCTCCTCTGGACTTGCTCCAGCAGCTGTATGTGTTCCTGATGCTGGAGGCAGCACTGCAGGAGAGGTCTTTTGCCTGTGACAAAGAGTGGAATTAGTGTGAAACAGATGAAACAAGTGTTACTGGGTGTTGTTAATGAGGCCTTGCCTCCGGCTAGATGTGTAATGTTACCAGCCTGCCCTTGCCTGAGAACTTGTAGTGTGATCTGACAAATGCTTCAGAAATAGAATATGAATCAAAATCCTGTTCTTAGTGGCTTTTCACTTCCTGAGTACATTTATACTTTGTTAAAAGCTATGTTGTGTGATAATCAGCAAGCTCCCTTTTGCTGTCTAAAACAAAACTTCAGAATGCATCTGTTTACTGGCTGAAACAGGTTCTTGGCAAAATCCTCTGGAGAACAACAGGCAGAATCCAGGGTGAGAGCTATATAGAATGTGTCTAGTTCCAGCTGTGGTGGATTTGGTGCAAATTCTGCTGCTGGATCTAGGAATTCTATTGGAAGGCTTACATTGCATCAAAACCAGAATGAACTATGGTTCTTCCAATATCTGGCATTAATCTGTTCCTCCAAACAAGGGGCTCCTGGATTTCCTGCTGTCATAGGTGTGGGAATGTGCCAGCTACAGGTGGGCATGCTTGGTCAGCAACTGTGAGATTTACCCGGAGAGATTTGTTGTGCTGGGATTTCATACCCTCTGAGGATCTGGGCCCCAAGGATGCTGAGGGCTGGGGCTGAGAGAACCTGAGTCAGCCTCCCACTGGGGCTGGTTCTAGTGTGTTGCACAAAACCCTTTGCTTTTGGCCTTATATGGCAGCAGATGCAGGAAAGCAGAACTCATGGGCAGCCACTGATCCCTGGAACAGTGTTCCTAAACTGAGTCAGCCTGCAGCTCAGGGATTCCTTACCAGTGAGGTGAGAGCACAGTGAGCAGAGGATGCTGTGCTTGGAGAGGTTCACATGGGGCAGACTGCGTAGCTTTTGCCATCCTTTCACATTGGCAAGGAAGAGAGAACAGAGGAGGATACATCTGCTTGTCATTCGCTTAGTCCAGGTACAAATCCCTGCTGTCTCCTTCCCATCCTCTGCCCAGATCCTATATCCATGGTAGATATCCTGCTGTATGGTTGTTGAACAGTGTCTCCTGGGTGCTAAAAGAACTTTCATAAAGACACACAAAAGTATCCTACAGCACACAGGTGGGCTTCCTCCTCACTGCCCCATGTTTCCAGAACTAGTGTAGAAAGCACCTGTCTCACAGAAGGCAGGTGATCTAATTAGTCCCAAGCAGAGCAGAGATCCAAGGTCTGGGGTGAGGCATGACATTTCCAGCTCTCTTTCCCTGACATTGCAGAAAGAAGGGCTTGGAGGAGCTGTGTCTCTGCTGCCAGCACAATTTTCCATTATGTTAATTTATTTATATCCAGAAAATGACGTTATTTTCAGATTGTGACACTGAGGGTGGCACAGACAGTCTCCAGCCCCTGACGCCATCCCGTGCTCTACTTTGCAGATACTACAAGGAGTACATGGAAATGGAGAAAGAAATGTGCTGCCAGATGTTTGACTCTCTCAATTCTTATGGCTGAGAAGAAATCAAGGTAACCAGGTTTTGAAAAGGGTGAACTCTAACAAAATCTGTGATACCTGTAGTGTTCTCAGGTGGGGAACCTGCTTCTCTTCTGCGGGGTGGGCTTTTGGAGGCAGAATGGAAAGTGGTGGGAGTGTGTGGAGAAGAAGGGCAGGATGGTGGGGTGGAATACTGCTACATCGTCACCTTGAAGAATCTTTCCTGTGAGGCAAAGCATGTGTGGGACAGAGACCTGAAACTGGCAGCAGTTGAGTAAGTTTGGCTTGTTGTTTCCTGTGCTGCTCATCCCAGCTGTTCCTGGTCAGAGCCAGGGGCTGAAATAGCTCTTTAGTCTTGTTTCTCTGCCAATTAAAAGAAGGGGGGGTGGGGGGAAGAAAATTCCTGTCAAACTTAAAAATTGGATTTCCTCCTCCCCTCCAGCACTTCTCTCTGGAGCTGTTGGAATGCCTCACTTCAGAAAAATCTAAATATTTTATTTCTGGTGGTTTTTTTAAGTATTAAAAAAGTCTGTTTGGATAGAAAATTTCCAAGTAGATGTTTTGGACTCTTTAAAGCCTTAAATCTTCTAGCAAAATTGACAGGTTTATAAATGCACAAAGGATCTTTGATCCTTCTTTTTTTCCTCAAAATCTTCAGGGGCGTGCAAGCAGGAGCAGAAATCTTTTCTGGTCTCTTGCTTTGGGGGAAACCCTAGGGAAAGAATTCTGGAAAATGACAAAATCCTTCTGTCATGAACCATCCCCAGCTCAGGGTCATCAGTTTGCTGCTGTCGTCTCTCCTGCAATACAGACAGTACCTTTTGCTAGCAGAAAATGAATATTGGCAGACTTTCCATCAGCTCTGGTGTTTTAAGTTGTCTCTTTGTGCTTGTGAGGAAGGTAAGGCAGTATTTGAGGAAGAGATTGGATTGAATGCTGCTTCCTGAAGGAACACAGCCTTCTCCTGACTGGACATGACTCCTTGTAGAGTCTTTACCCTTCCTGCTGCCCCTGTGCTCCGGTCCAAGCTGGGCATGTGACCTCAAAGCACAACTGATCCTGCCCTGGGTTTGGGATGGGACTTACTAAGTGTGTTAGCAGGTGCCTGCCCCCAGGAAAGGAGCTCTGAGAGGGGATGTAAGACTGATGAGGTCTTGTGCAGAAAGTCTGTGGCTCTAGATTTGGCAAGAGGCTCTGATTTTCCACTTGCTGTGTTTCAGGAAGTTGGAGTTTGGAAGCATATAGGACCTTGGGTCTCATCCCTGGTGGTGTCTGACCAGGGAAGCTCTTGTGAGCGTCTGGGATCACCTGGGCCTGGTTTGTGGTGGGAGTCGGGGTGATTGTCAGGAAGGTTATGTGGCTACTTGTTTCCCAGAAAGCATCTTGTGAAGATGCTCATTTCCACACATCTGGTGTAAGTAAAACCAGTGATTTTGGTAAGAGGAGACTGAGAAGTACAAAGGAAAAGGGCAAAATCTGTCCTGTAGGCAAGCTTAAGTGCTGGGCTGAACTGCTTACCAGCCAATTTATCCACTGACTCCTGTGTGTGGAGTTGTCCCACCTTACACAGCTGATGGACAGCTGTCAGTCAAAAATATGTCCAAGCTTCCTTGAAGTTGATTTTTGTTGCAGCATTAAAAGGAAACTAAGTCTCCCAGATGAACATAAATCACTGAGGCCCAAACAAAAATCTACTATTCATTCATGGCAAAAGAAGTCCTTTGCTGGAGGAGGTTCCTGCAGGACCCTGTGTGAGCTGAAGGTTGGGCTGCTGCTTTAAAACTTCATTATACATTCAGAGAGGAGCAAAGCAGTTCCAGCAGGAGCTCCTGCTCCCTGTCAAAGACTCTGGGAATTAGTCTGAATTGAGGCAGCACATTCTTTAATGCTTTCCAACAGCTTCGTACCAATTAAGTTTAGGGTACAGGCTGTACTGGGGCAGTTTGGCAGGCCCGCTTCATCTGTTCTCTTAGACACTGAGTGAAGAGATGGCTGGAAATGCTGTCTGCAGTCTGTGGTTCATGGACCAGTGGAATCATAAAAGTTACAGAAAACCTCCTTATATACCAGTTGACAGGTGCTTGTGGAGCCCTGAGCTGACCTGTGGTCCAGCTCCTGAGTGGCTCAGAGCTGTAATAGTAGTATCTCTTCCCTCTTGAACAAGCTGCATCCATCCCTTGCTTCAGAGCTCTTTCCAAGCTCAGACTGCTATGCCTTAGCTGAACCCTGCTGTGTTCCAGGAGCACAGTTAATTTCTCTGTACTGAATAATCCACGGCTGTTTTGTATAATTACAGTCAAACCTGGGTGTACCTGAACATCTTCCTTCTGCCTGATATTTTTGCAAGGGATTTTTTAGTGGTAAGACAAGGGCGAATGACTTTAAGCTTTAAGGACTTTAAGAGGGAAGATTCAGATTGGATATAGGGAGGAAATTCTTTCCTCCTGTGAGGGTGAGGAACTTTCCTACCACTGAGAGTGGTGAGAGGCTGGCACAGGTTGCCCAGAGGAACTGGAGCTGTGCCATCTCTGGAAGTGTTCAAGGCCGGGCTGGATGTGGCTCTGAGCACCCTGGTCTAGTGGAAAATGGCCCTGTCCATGGCAGGGTGTGAAACCAATGGTTTTTAAGGTCCTCTCCAACCCAGACTATTCCATGATTTTTGTATCCCCTGCCAGCTGTAGAGCCTAGTTCTTCTGATTGCCACAAACATCTTGCTCAGAACACATTTCCTACCTTTTCAATGGAATTTTGGGTCAGAATAGATCTTCCCTTTGGCAAAATGCAAGGCTGCTTGTGGTGCTTCTTGGGGGAATTCAGAAGTACTCAGAGGGAGACAGAAGCACAAACTCCTTTTTAAATCCATCCTGCTGCAGTTCCTTCTAAATGCCTTGGGTCTCAAGCTGGCCCCTCTGAGGGTTTGGTTTATTTATCTGTCTCTGTTTCCTTTGTGTGGTGCAGGTATGTAGAGCCTAATTTCCTGGGATGTGCAGAGCTTGAAGTCCTCCTTGGTGTCCCCTAAACTGCAGAATGGTGGGCTGAGGCCTCTGGCTTTTTGGAACTTTTTGTTTTGATTGAAAGACCTATCAGGAAAAAAAAAAGAACTTTCCCATTGTTGTGTTGCTGTGGACTCTCTCTCATAAGAGAACTAAATCATGAGGACTGGGGACGACTTCCCTAGGAATGTCTGGATTCTAGTAGAGGGTCCTTGGTGATAGTTCTGTCCCAGGAGGATGAGTCTCTGCACTCTTATTTTCATTTATAGATGAGCCAGAGTTGAAATCTTGTCTCTAATATGTACCTCAGCTCAGTACACAGGAGAAGTGGTCCCAGGATTTTGGAACACACAGGGAGATGTTCCAGTGAAAACAAACAATACTGAAATTATGACAGGAAACAGTAACTTTGAGGTCAAACTGGTTATTGCCATGAATAGCAAGTTCTACCAATTCTGGAGGCATTAATGGTGAGAATTGGCTTCAGAACTGAGGCTGTGTCACCAGGTAGAAATGACTGTAATTGGGCTTAAAATCAGCAACAGTTGCCAGTTGAACTGACCTACTAAGCTGCAGGAGAGTTGCAAATAAACTGAGAAGTCTGTGCATAACACAATCAAACTTCTGCCTTGGGAAAGCTCCAGACTTGGGATAAACAGCAACTTGCTTCTTCCCCTCCTGCTCTCTCTTATTCCTGAGCAGAGCTGAAATGTCCCTCCTGCTGATTTTGTCCCTCCCCACTGCGGCTGAACAACAGAGAACCAGTGATTCACTGCTCATTTAGAATATGCAAATTCCTGTCCCACTGAGGTGTCCTGTGCTGCGGAGGAAATTGTTAAATCTGCTTTCTGCTGAGCCTTGCCAGGTGAGGGGGAAGGCTTGAAGTAGGACTTAATTAAGCATTCTCCTTGTTAAGCAAAGGAAGGAGAAAGGCTTTAATTAGGTTGTTTTCCTTCCAGCTCTCTCCTCTTCTAGCATCTTGCACTTTCTTCTGAGGATTTCTGCAGTTCCTGCCTGCAGTAGTAACTATAACACCTCTCTGGAAGGATCCTGTGCTCTGATCTCTTCTGGAAACTGAAGAAATTACTGTGGCACCTGGTTTTAGGGATCCCTGATATGCTTTCCTAGGCGACATACTGGATATGGGTCTGGATGCACTAGGTCTGGCTTTGCCCAGACTGGGAGGTCTGGCCAGGATTTAGAAGCCACAAAGTGATGTGAAATGGAAAGGACAGAGACCTGTGCAATATCCCAGTGTCCCACTGTGCCTGTCCTTCAATCCTCCACCACCAGATTTAACAATTTCCTCCGCAGCACAGGACACCTCAGTGGAATCACTGAATCACAGAGTTGTTAAGGTTGGAAAAGCCCTCTAAGATCACAGAGTCCACCTGTTTCCCCAGCACTGCCAAGACCACCTCTAACCCGTGTCCCAAAGTGCCACATCCACACATCTCTTAAACCCCTCCAGGGATGGACACTCTCCAACTGATCTGGGCAGTTGTGTCAGTGCCTGGCCAACCATCCTGTGAAAAAAAAGTCCAGAATATCCAAACTAAACTTCCCCTGGCACAGTTTGAGGCTCTTCCTTCTTGCCCTGTCCCTGTTCCCTGGGAGCAGAGCCCGACCCCCACCTGGCTGCCCCCTCCTGTCAGGGAGCTGTGCAGAGCTGGAAGGTGCCCCCCGAGCCTCCTTTTCTCCAGGCTGCTCCATATTGGAGTGTCTTTCCCAGCTCCCTCAGCTGCTCCATATTGGAGTGTCTTTTCCATCATCAGCAGCACAGAGCACCTGATGGAATTGGGGGCTGTATCCCTGCTGGAACAGCATCTGGACACTAGCGGCTGTGTGGCAGCCACACTTTGACAGCAGGTGATGGTTTTGGCTGTCAGCACCAGGAAGTCCCCACAAGGGCTCCATATTTAGGGAATGAGCTTTTGGAAAGTCTTTTTGCTTCAGATGCAGGGAGTGTCTTGGCACTGTTGAGAGTTGGTTTGCAGAGCTCAAGAGTTATTTCCAGTAAGGATAGACATGACCTTACTGTGTCTCTTGTGCAGCCCACCCTGCTTTATCAGGGGCTGTTGATTCCATAGAATGCTGAACATTATTGTCATAGAGGTTATCTGAGCACTTGAATGACTGGGAGCTGCTCTGAGGATCAGTTTCAGCCCCCACTTGCTGGGTGAAGTCCTTCCTGGGCCAGAAGTGTGTGTTGAAGAGTTCATCACTTCTTTCACCTTCCCATGGTCATTGCTCTTATGAGACCTCTTGCTCTCTGAACAAGAACTTTTGTTGCTTTGGTTGGGTGCTGTTTTAAGGGTTTGGGTTGTTTTTTTTGGTTTTTTTTTAAGGTGTGCTTGGGCAAGAGCTCTGCTTTATGTTCTTTCTTCTTGCTTTATGTATCCTTGTCTAATCCCAGATCTAAGCAGACTTCACAGCTCTTCCTTCCATCACTTAGGTTTGGAATGGTAGTGCATGTCATCAGCATTCAGGGCCTTTGGAGTCAAGACTTGTTACAGATCTCTGGAGAATTCCTCCTGCTACAGAGTGTCTATCTAGCATACATGCAGCTCTTGGAACTCACTGTGGATCTTCTGCAGAGCTGAGAATCTTGGTAAATTGACTTGGAAAAAGTGTCTTGAGGAAAAAAATGTGTGTAAGTGCAGATCTTGAGGTGGCAATTGACGTTTATGTAGCTTGGCTCTAGAAAAGATGAGCAGCGTATCTGTTCCTTCCGCTTTCCTCTGTGGATTTGGGCATCTGTGATGGGGCTCTGACTTTGGATGTGGGGAGGGTGAGTGTCTATGCTTGTGTGCTGCCGTGCTCTGAGAACATATCCACAGCCACCTCCACCATTGGAGTGGCCACTTGAAGCCTCACAGCTGGACATCCCTAAAGAGCACTTGGAGAGAAAAGAGGAGGGAATGCCTGACTGCAGAGCCACTTCCACAAAGAGCATATAAATGGTCCCTAATTAGGGAATTTTCTCCCGAAGGCATGTCACCTGCTCAGAGGAATCTCCCTGGGATGGCAATGCCTCATGCCCAGATAAATCAGGACAGGCTGGTGTTGTAAATAGCTGTTCCTCTCTTGGTGTCAGGGTGATTGCCCAGCACATAATGTTATCAGCTGCTGAGAGCACCCTAGTGCTGCTGGAATTTCATTTCAGTACTCCAGAGCACTGCAGCCTGGCAGGGACCTCTCGTGGAGTCCATGAGATTGTTCCTTCGTGATCGCAGTGGTTTTTCTCCAGTGTCAGTGCCTGTGGGACTGGTCAGGCTCCGAGTGAAGAGCACTTCTCAGGCAGCTGCTGTTCACGGTTTTGGCTCTTTGCTGATGTGTGCACATAACATCTGCTTTCCCAGCCAGGCTCATGTGGAGCTGCGGTGTTAGGATGTGCTTTATCCTTCTGGCTACTGAGTCACAACTTCCCTTCCTTTCTTCTCCATGCTCAGTTGTAAATTCCATTTAGATCTGAACAGAAGCATTGAAGAGGAGGTGTTCTGTTTCCCCTAAGAGAGGAGGCTGCATTTCTCTGAATATCCTTTGAGGTCAATTTCTGAGATGTGAAAGCTTTCTAGACTGCCACCACCAAGCTGATTTCTTGGATTCTTGCCTTGAGGAGCGCTCTTCTCACTGAGGGTTATCCCAGTGCAGCACTCTGGGAGCTACTGCCTCAAGGCATGGGAGGCAGTGAGGGCTGAACTGGCAGGAGCAATGTTTAAGTGCACAATTCTGAGTTTTCCAGTTTCCTCGTGTTTTGACAGGAACTTTTATCTGCTGTGTTTGGTGCCTCCCTACAGTCCTTCTAGAGATGGAGGCAGGAAAGGGGGAGCTGGGGAAGATGCACCCGCAGGGTTTTTTTAATGCAGAAAAGCAGCTTAAACAAATTGTAAAGTCTTACTTAAGCATTAACTGTTAATTGTGGCTTTAATGCAGAGTAAAGGTGATATATTTATATCATAATTATGATTATAAATGACCCGTGACCTGGTGTGTTACTCCCTATGAATTGAGGATCAGCTTTGTAGTTCCAAAGGATGAGTTAAAGTAGCTGAGACCAACAGGCTTGTGTGTGACCTTTGAAATCTGAATGTGCCTTGCTGGATTTCATGACTGAGTTGCTGTCAACCTGCTGTAGTGAAGGAAACAAATCTTGGAGCAGGCTTCTGGTTGGAGTGTGCTGTTCTACTCCATCCAGGAGTAGCACTGGTGTTGAACCCCCTCCAGCTACTATGTCTGCTGGGTCCTGTGATTCCCCTCCACTTCTCTTCTGATTGTGGAGCCATTTGGTGGAAATGAAAGAGACAAACTGATCAAACACTCCCTGAAATGGCTTTAGGATTTCAGTTTGAATTTTTATTTAATTAGCTTCATGTAAAGACTTTATTACTTCAATTAGCAGCCATGAAACCAGAAACCTCTTGGTCTGATCCTTTATTTTCCTGGTGTACAGGAAGCCTCAGTCAGCCGCAGGCTCACTCCAAATTAGACACCCCAAACCCCAGCTAACAGCTGATGGGAACACCCAGTGATCAGCTTTGAAGTATTCCTGTTGGGAACATGTGAAGGAACTGCTTTGTGGGGATGGGATTAGACTGATAAGGAGCAGAGTGGAAGTCAGTTGTATTTTAGGAGGAGCAAGGATGCTTTAGTTTAACAATGCAGAGAACACTGTAGCACATCAAGAATAAGGATTCCTTTTTCCCACTTGAAGCCTTTCTTTCCTTCTCCTGGTTGAAAGAACATTCTGCTGTGAACTGGAGAAATTATTTAGGTGTTTTTCTGATTCATTTTCAAAGATATTTGCTGAAGTGTCCTTCAGTAATTTTCCTTCTTTCTGGACTTCCTATCCCCCTTTTCCTGGAAAGTGCTGCCAGCCTGGATTGACAACTGATATCTTGTGTGTCAGGAACCTCGTGTACCCCCAAAGTTCTGGAAGGTTTGGCAGTACAAGGGGGCCTGTTAAACAAAGCTGTACCATGGGATTTGGTGAGTGCACTAACTCCCAGTTTGTAGTAGGCTGGAAGTCTCCTGTGTTTCTGACAGTATTAAAAGTTCCTCAACTCTTTTATGCTTTTAGTATCCCAAACTTTAAATTGGGGACAGCCCTTGTAAGAAGCACATTGTACTGACTCAGACCCAGTTTTCTGGCAGGGTGGCCCTTTGTCATGGGTTCTGTGTGGCTCTGAGCCCATGGACTGATGATCCCACTGCTCCAGGATCATCAGAGGGACATGAGTCATTGGGGGTGGGCTGGAGGGTCTTGATGTTCCTCAAAGCCCCAGTTATCCCGTGATCCTGTGGTGCCTTTCAAGGATGTATAATGAATGAGGTGTGGATTTTGAGCATCATGTGATGCTTCATCTTCTCTTTTAGTCTATAAAGAAGCTATTTCCCTCACAGTTCTTGGGGGTTTTTTTGCCTCCTGGTTAGCAGCCTGTAACTCAATATCCTCTAAGGAACAGGCTTTCCTATTTTGCTACCAGTAATTTGATTTACATGTGTTGGAATGGTCACTGCAGCTGAGCTGGCTGTGCCAGCTGTGGTAGCATGCAGATGCTGGAAGAGTATAAAAATAGGTTTGGGCTTCTGGTATTCCTGAGCTGTGAGCAGGTCATGCACCTTTTGGATGGGATCCTTTGCTACTCAGAGCTCCTGTAGGAGACAGATACTGGTTTGTTCTGGGGAAAGTTTCTAAGGATTTTCTTGGGTTTTCATTTATTCTATTTTTCCTTCTGCTGGTAATCCTATGGATGAGAGAGGGACAAATACTGTTCCAACAGTATTTTGGTGTCTTTTGTGCTCACAAATTGGGGAAATACTTCCAGTAGGAGTTTTTCTGTGTTGGTGTTTGAGAGGAGCCACTGGCAGCTACATGACGAACAGCAGGATGTGACCTGTGGCACCAGACACAGGGGAAGGTGCTGATTGTGTCTGAGCACTAGGGAGGTGAAGGTGCCGCTTCTGCCGGAGCTGAGGGAAAGCCCACCTGGGAGAGGCACTGGAGGAGGAGCAGGGGAGCTTTTGGCAACAAGGTCAGTGAAGCCATTAGAAGGTGAGGTAGGTGAGCCAAGTCCTGATCAGTGACCAGAGAGGTTCCCCTTTCAAATTTAGAGCTGAGGAGAGAGGAATCACCACTTAAAAGCAGTCCTGATTCTTACCCAGAACAAGCTGATGCTGCACCAAGGTACAGATTTCCTTCTGGTTACCCTAAAGAAGGGAAGGTATGGGTGGAGGCTGAGATGAAATAAAGAAGTTTTGCTGGATGTGGAAATTGTCATTTCCCTTGCCAGGGCTTCAAGACTGTCAAGGACCTAACTGCGAGTGATGGGCTGAGGTAAACAATTGCCCAAAGTGCTGGGGGTGCTCTGTGATCCATTGCTGGGATGCTGCCAGATAGCCAAGCCTTCCAGTGCTCCTGTCCTGCAACAGGAAGGAGCTCGGAGCAGGGAAGTACAGGGAGAAGCAATAGGAATCTGGGTTTAGGAGAAATTCCTGTGTCTCATAGAAGATTCACTTTCTCCCAAAGGCAGAGTAAGTATCCAGGCTTCAGTTTCCCCAAAGCAGGAAAAGTGTAAGTGATGGGAAGCATGGATGACCCTGTGTAGAAAAGGAAGTGGCCCAAGGAGTGCTCTGGGTGTTTCCCTGATGGGGGCTGGCTTGTTTTTAGTTTTTGTCACTTAATACTCTGTTTTCTCCAAGTCTTTCATGAGGAAGTTGAATGGATTTTGAGGGGATTTCAAATGTGTTTGTTCCACTTGTGTTTGTTCCACTTGTGCTAATCTGTGGAATTCTAGGTGTTTCTTTCAGGGCCACTGGAGGTGTGTGCTGGTAATCATGGATCATTGAGAGCTGAAATTCAATAAATTGTGCAAGTGATGCTGGGGAAGCACTGACTGTGATACTTTGTCGTCCTAGGACTGTTGCAGCTGTCCACTTTTTGGCACATGGAGATCTCAGCATCACATACAAGTTTTCGGAAAAGGAGCAGAAACACTGTCTTACTTCAAAGACTGAAGGTTCAGTGTTTATACACAACCTCATTTTCCCAAAGTTTTGTTTGTTTGCTATGTTTTGAGGCAGTTTCCAGAATAATTTAATCTGTGCTGTTGGAGAGAGGAATGGGTCTGTGTAAATTCCTTCTCTTCTCCCATGCACGCTGTTTGAAGAAAACTCTTTCCTCATGTCCTGCCTCTTGCAGATAGATTCCAGGCTGCTTTCAGAGAATTTGTAAGTGGGAAGAGGATGCCATGAAGTTTTCTATTTACACAGGTTGTTCTTAAAAAAAAAAAAGTTTGATATTTTTGTTCTGAGGAAATAAACCAACCTGAACACTAAAGCTGTCAGGACTTGTGCCAATTTATTGCACAAATAAAAGTGATTGCAAGAGTGATTAGTGCCTGAAGGAGCTGGAATTTGGAATGGGGTCTGTACAGCTGGCTCCCTTTGTGGGCGACTGGTTGTTGTACTCTGTTTTGGCTGAATGTTCCTGTGAATGTTGATGCTAGATCTAAAATTGCTGAATATTACCAGCTTTGGAGCAAACTCTAGAACTCTGTGTGCTCACATGAGGCTGTGGCTGGGATTGAATAAATGCAGAGTCAGAGATGCTCTGAGAGCTGGAGTCCCTCTGCTCTGGAGCCAGGCTGGGAGAACTGGGGTGTTCACCTGCAGAAAGCTCTAGGCAGACCTTAGAGCCTCTTCCTCTGTGTAAAGAGGCTCCAAGAGAGGTGGAGATAGACTTTGGACAAGGAGGTGGAGTAACAAGACAAGGAGGAATGGCTTCCTGTTGATAGAGGGCAGGGTTAGATGGGATGGTGGGAAGAAATTCTTCCCTATGAACTTTATGAGGCCCTGGCACAGCTTGCCCAGTGAAACCGTGGCTGCCTCTGGATCCCTGGAAGTGTCCAAGGCCGGGCTGGTGCTAAGAGCACCCTGGTCCAGTGAAGTGTCTCTGCCCATGGCAGGGGGTGGAACAAGATGAGCTTTAAGGTCCCTCCCAACCCAAACCATTCTGTGATTCTGACTTCCACAGCCATATCAGCCAGGGCTTCCCAGCTATTTATGCATCACAGGTGGCCTTGTCTGTCCATCTTCTTGGCCTTGCTCTTTTGCAGAAGGGTCTGAAACCATATTTCCAGCCAGTAGAGGTTGGGCTGGCACTGAGAGGAGAATTGTAGAAGCATGGAATATCCTAAACTGAAGGGATCCACTGGGATTATCCAGTGCAGCTCCTGCTGCAGGGCCAGTGTGTCCCTGAGCCCTTTCCTAGCCTGACACTAGATGGCAATGCCTACTTCCCAGCGGTGTTTGGGACTCCTTTCTGATGGCCTTTAAATCTGGATAGCTGTCTTTCTCTACATAAATTTGTCTTTCTCTATATAAATTTGATTGGGAGTTGGTGCCTCTTCCCTATAAGAAGCAGAGAACTTTGTGGTTCCTGGGATATGATAGTTCTGAAGACATAAACAAGGCAAGTTTTCCAGAATGGGACAGCTGTGCTTCCCTGGCATTCCCTACCATGGGCTGTGCTGGCACTTCCCTGCCAGCCCTTGGGTCAAATGACTGTGGGCAGCTGGATCCATGAGTGCAGACTTTGCACATCCCTGTCCACCAATGGCCTTGGAAAGGCAGGATCTCCTGGACCCCAAATTGTGGGGAGCCCACTGAGGAAGACATTTCATCTGCTAAATCTGAAGTGTAGGAGCGGTGTAACTGCTGTGGCACAGTGAGGAGCTTTCCAAGCCTCTGGAAGATTCACTCCAGTCCTGCTGCCAGGAGCACACACTGCAGGAACAGCAGCCACCCTTCCCTGCCACCCAGGCCAAGCCAGTTAACTGTACTTTACCCAGAGTCTGTTGACAGGCAGGTTGACAGGCAGTTTTTGCTGTTGGGGATTTCTCATGGTGAGGTAGATCTTGCTGAAGTGCATCTTTCTTTACCAAATTATGTAAAAAAACTACTTTATTTTTTCTCTTTTTTTTCCCCCCTCCTTTCTCCCTTCCTTCCTTTTTTGTTATTAAAGGAAGAAATACAATCTCTTAGCCTCTGGGCAAAATCAGAGGTGTGTTTGGATCTTGACTTGGCATTAAAGTAGAAATACTAGTCCTTGAGCAAAAGAGACAAAAATCTCTACAGAGAGCCACACTTTCAGGGTGATAGTCAAAAACCACCCAATCGGAGAAAAGTTTCCTACTGGAATTTTTCATTTTGGCCAAAATGCATCCATTTCTCCCCTCCATGAAACAGTTTTTGACAAACATCTTCAACGTCTTCCCTGGAGAAGCTATTCCAAAGGTTGGCCCCAGCTCAGCAGTGGTCTTGTATTTCCAGGTTGGGTTTATCAAATGTCAACCTGCAGCTCTGCATCTGTGCCGGGTTTGCTAAATTTCAAGATTATCTGATCTCAGGTGAAGTTTTCCTGCCATGGCTGTTTATCCAAACCTGAAATGTCATGCACCCTCAACTCATCAATCCAGCAACTCCTTGGGCTGCAAAGATAAAGCCTCTTTGAAGTGTGACTCACAACCCCTGTGTGTCACCTGAGCATCTCACATCATGTTGTCCTCCCCTGCACACCACTGACTCCCCAGAACACATAAGGGCGCTGAGATCCCACTCCATGCCTGTTCCCTCCACTGGCAGCTGGTGCAGAAACCCTGGAGAGTGTGGGTGGGTGACCTTGTGCCCCCTAGGTGTGGGATGTGCTCTGCCAGGGACAAGGGTGAGCTGAGACCACTGGCAAGCAACCAAAACACATGAAATAGCTGTGCTAAACCTGTGTTGAGGCATTCAGGGCGTGTGAAATAGGAATGCTGGAAGGTGCTCCACGTTGTGGCACCTCCTGTTTTTTCCTCCAAGGCACAAGGTGCTGCAGTGGGAAATGCAGCACCTCTCCAAACCTTCCTGGCATGCGTGGGGATGCCGGTCCTATCAGCTCAGTCTGGGTGGGTGCTCAGCACCCTCCTCTGGGCCAGGAGCAATCCTGCTGATCTCAGGGACTTGGGGGCTCAGGCTCCTGCCACCATCCCTGTGCTGCTGACAGGGCAGAGAGGAGGCTGCAGGCGGGGACCAAGGGCCCCTGTGGCACTGGATCCTCTGGGTTGTTACAGGGGCAAAGGACTCACTGGGTTCTGGAGCCCCTTGAGTCACTGGGCACCCTGTTCTTCTGGGCTGGGACAGGAGCCAAGAACTTCCATGGCATTGGAGCCTCTGGGCTGGGACAGGGACCAAGGACCTCCATGGCACCAGAGTCCCTTGACTCACTGGGCACCCGTTCCCCGAGGTAAGGACAAGGGACTCAGATCTTTTTGTTCCAATGGCTGGCCCTGGAAGTCATGGAAGCAGAAACCCCTTTGTGCTGCCGGTCGCAGGAAAGCCCAGCCGGGCACAGAACGCGCCAGCTCCGTGCTCTGCTCCTGGCCCCTCGTTTGTGTTGGCACCAGCCAGAGAGCGAAGCTGGTTTAATTGGCAGTTGTGTTTGTGGCCAGGATGTTATGAAAAGGTTTTCTGTCTCCCTCTGTAAGTTCCCCTGAATGTTTTCACTCTTAATATAATATTCACTTCATTATTAGCTGAAAGAGGCTCTTTTCAGAGAGGGCTTTTTTTTTCCTCTCCTTCCAAAAATACATTAAACTGCCCCTTCATACAGCGCTGCACTGAGGGCTGGGATTGTCTACTGGGCGGGAAGTGAGAAACCCGACAGTAAATGGGATTTACACAGAAATTCCTTTCTTCCCCAGTGTGCTGGCAGGGCTGACTGGGTAATGGAGGAGGCGGCTGTTGCTTTCAGGGTGATTTGGGGTATCTCACCTCCCCAACAACGTGGTCACCAAGGGGATCCCCCCACGCAGAGCAGGGGCTCCCAGTGCCCTCAGCTGGTGTTTCCAGGTGCAAACCCCTCTAGCAGAGTTGGGACCCAGCCCCAGGGATTCCCATGTGTGCTGTAAGTGTCTCCAGCACCTGCCAGGTTTTGGAAGCTTGCTCTCTCTTGGGTGGGTTTGAGGGCATTGGGTGCAACTGGACCCCCATATTGCCATCTTGTGTTGCTGCTCTTCATGACTTTGCAGCTTCCATAAGGTTTTTCCCTCCAGCTTTGAGAAAATCCCTGTGAGCTGCAGAAGCAGTGAGGGTGGTATCACATGCAGAGCATCCAGCCTGGCTCAGCCTTGGGATCCAGGGGAAACAACTCTGCTTTCCTCTTGTCTGAGTTCCTTGAAGGGCACCCACAGCCCAGCCAAGCTCTGTGTTCAGTTGTTTGCCATATTTGGGTGGTTTTGCAGGGCCATGCAGCCCCCAGTTTCCTCATTCAATGTCCTCAGCCCAGCCCACTGGGAATATCTCAGGCTGGGGCTGTCTGTAAGGTTGTGCTATCTCAGCCCTGGCCCCAGCTCCTTTTGGGATGCCCTAACACAGCCAATCACGGTGGGGGGGAGGTGGAGGGGGGGTGTCACTGGGCCAGCTCTTGCACTACTGCTATGGGGCACTGGGGTCCCTGGGGACCTCAACACCTCTGCTCCATCCCTCGAGGAGCTGTTATGAAATCCCAGAGGAGCCCAAAGCACATTTTCCCTTTCCCTGAAAGAAGCACAGACACAAATCTCCCCTCTCAGGGCAGATGCCAGCAGCAGGAGCCCTCCCCAGTTCTACTGCCCCCATTCCCAGCCATCCTGGGAAAATCATTAGGGCTGCCACCATGTGCTGATAAGTATCCAAGTTCTGTCCTTAAATGGGAACAATTAGCATTTGTTTCAGGATACCTCTGTTTCATGATACAGCTGTGGCTCCAGAGCTGACAGAAGCATTCCCATCCAAGCAGGGCCCAAAGGAGCTCCCTAGGGATGATGCAGCTCCCAGGTAAGGATGCTCTTGGGAGGTGTCCAGCTTATGCATCCTTAGCCCCTCACCTGGTCCTGACATTGGCAGGAAAGTGGGAGCTCCCTGATGATCCTGCACTTCTTTTTCCGGGTTTTGGGAAAAACATAAATCAGATTTAAGCTGTTTTCTCTGGGGTTTTGGTAGTTTGTCCACCCCTTCCTAAGCATGTCTTATGTTCAGTGTATCCTAGTGCCTCCCCTGCCTCTCCCACAGTGCAGAGCATCCTCTTGTGTGAAGCCAGACAGGAACTGTGCCTGACAGGCTCTGGGGGCTGATTCTGGAGAAGGTAGTAGAGAAGGTTCTGGAGTTACATAGGCAAAGGAAGACTTCCAGTTTTGCACATGGGTCTGAAAGCTGAGGATGACCTGTGTCAGGAATGAGAAGTGTGTGGGGAAAGGTTGTGGTCATTCCAGTGTGGAAGGGTCAGGAGTGTGGTGATTTGCAGTTCTG